AGAGGGGAGGAGGGAGGAGAGAAAGATGGGGTGTGTTGAGAGTAAGAAGAGGAGGGACGAGAGGGAGACTGAGAGAGGGACGAGAGAGAGAGAGGGATAGAGAGAGAGGAGAGAGAGAATGTGATAGGGAAGAGGGAGGGAGAGAAAGATCGAAAGGTGATGGGTGAAAATTTAGGTGATTGAGGATGAGAGAGAGAGAGAGAGAGAGGGAGAGGGGAGAGATAAGAAGAGGAGCTGAGGGGGAGAAGAGGAGAGGAAGGAGAGGAGGAGAGAGAGGAGTAGAGGAAAAGGAGAGGAAGAGGAGGGAGAGAGAGGGGAGGAGAGAGAGAGGAGGAGAGAGGAGGGGAGGGAGAGAGAGAGGACGAGAGAGCAGGAGAGAGAAAGGAGAAGATGAGGAGAGAGGAGGAGAGGAGGAGAGAGGAGGAGAGAGAAGGATGAGGAAAGGGAGAGAGATGAGAGAGTGTGAGAGGAGAGAGAGAGAGAGCTTGAATGACGAGTGTAGAGAGTTTATGTGAAGAGAGATGCGAGAGAGAGAGATGAGGAGCGAGAGAGAGAGGGAGTAGAGGATATGAGAGAGGGAGAGAGGAGAGGAGAGAGGAAAGAGAGAGAGAGGGAGAGAGAGGAATGAGAGGATAAGTGGAGAAGAGAGGGAGGAGGGAGGAGAGGAGGGAGGAGAAGGAGAGAGAGAGAGATCGAGTGGAGAGACGAAAGATCGAAAGTTGAAAAGGAGAGAGAGAAGAGAGAGAGAGAGGGGGAGAGAGACGAGACTGAAGAGTGAGAACGAGAGAGAGAGGAGAGAGAGAGAGAGAGAGAGAAGCGAGAGAGAGAAGAGAGAGAGAGAGGAGAGAGAGAGAGAGAGGAGAGAGAGAGAGAAGAGAGAGAGAGAGAGAGAGAGAGAGAGAGAGAGAGAGAGAGAGAGAGAGATTGAAAAGAGAGAGAGAGAGAGAGAGAGGATGAGAGAGAGAGAGAGAAGAGAGAGAGAGAGAGAGAGAGGGAGAGAGAGAGAGAGAGAGCGAGAGAGAGAGAGAGAAGACGAGATGATGAGAGAGAGAGAGAATGAGAATGAGAACTTGCTATAACGGAACTCCCTCTTGCTGTTGGGAATGTCTTGAAGGATCTCCCTCTTCCGATCGTCTTTTGTTATTGTTTTCGCTGCACAGAGGGACCGTTGTTATAAAGAAGCTTTTGTTTGCAGTGAGCTTATGGAGTTTATAGGTTTAAGTTATTATCAATACCTTTTTTATGCCTTTTTTATTTTGTTTGGTTTATGTATCGTTATTGTTTTGTTTTTATTACACGCAGAGAGGGACTTTATATATCATGGACGCTTCGTTTGTGGTTGTAAATTGAAGTTGTCTGTTATTGTTAGTATTTTATTGATTTAGTTTTGTTTTTTAATGGTTTTCTTTTGTTATGATGGGGATTGTTATTCTGAAGGTACTGACCTCTATGGAGCCTCTAGAACGGTTTATTATTATTATTTTTTTTATATAGAGATGCTTATCTGAGCGAGAACACTCTTGATAGTGTCGCTTCATTCTATTTCTCTTTCTTATCACTATCAGAAATACATATTTTCGCTATCATTAATCGCTATCACACATCACAATCAGTATTATCATCACGATCAATATTAACGATTTCCATTTATTCATTTGTCCTAAAACAACCAACGTATTTCTCTTTGCTTGTCTTGGAACAACGAACGTATTTTTTTTCTTTGGAACTCCAAACGTACTTTCTTTTACTTAATAATTCTTTATCCTAAAACTAAGAACTTTGGTCTATTTATCTATTCTTGGCGATTGTCCTAAAAAACAACAACTATCCTTCCCTGTTTTTATTTTCTTTGTTCGCGCCAAAACCAAAAAAAAAAAAAAAAAAAAAAAAAGTGCATTCCTAAGGCAGGGGAGGGTTACTTAACTCGATTTTGTGGTTAGATAATTTAACTTTTACACGACAACCTCAAGCCATATGACCTTGTGCTGTGCCATTATATATATTGTCTTTAATTCATGGAGATTACATGCATGTATCGAGGGCGCCATAGAAGTCGAATTTCGACGATCAGCGATGGCGAATATATACGTCAGTCTCCATTGCCTTTGATAAATACATTACGATAGAGAATGACACGTAAAATTTGATCAATTTTATCCCCCTCCAAGAATGATGGCACGAAAAGGGGACCGTAAAGGCGAAAGTATCGTTACGATCCCGTGTGGAAAAGGACCTTAAAGACAAGCCAATTTCTTGGACTCCTCAGGGGATACGGGCGTAACTGGGCATAATCTATTTCATGATAATCAAGGTGCGCCCAAACGCTCTCTATGAGGAAGGGAGGGGGAGCACGGTGTTTGGATTAATCAGATGAATCGCGTGAGGAGAGGGCAGGAGGGACGGGAGGGGGAAGAGAGGAGGGATGAGGAGGGAGCGGAGTTGGTATTGGGCACGTGCGTACCGAGGTTTGTTGGGGGGTGGGTGCGGGGAGAGGGAGGAGGGTAGGGGGAAGAAGAGGAGAGCGAGGGAAGGGAGTTGGTATTAGGCGGTGTGCGGTAGCTTGGGGGTGGCGGGGAGGGAAGGAGGGAGGGGAAGAGAGGGAGGAAGGGAAGGGATTGGAATTAGGGCGGTGTTGGGGTGCGGGGGGAGAGGGGAAGGAGGAGGGGGAAGAGAGAGGGAGAGGAGGAAGGCCGATTTGGTATTAGGGGCGGTGTGTTGGGGGTGGGGGGGGGGGAGAGAGGGAGTGGAGGGAGAGAGGAAGGGAGGGGTTTGGTATTTAGGGGTTGGGGGAGGGATAAGGGAGAGAGAGGAGGGAGAGAGGCGAGAGGAAGGGGGTGGTGTTAGGGGTGGGGGGAGAAGGGAAGGAGAG